CTGATTTTTAGGGTGCCACGAGCAGACATGTGGAGGTGCACCGCCAGTAGTGTCAGGCTGGCTTGTAGATTTTTCGGTGATTTGCAGATTTTGTGTTGTTGCTGCGCTGTTGCGTGGCTTGGCAATGCATTTTTTCCTTTCACAGCTGTAAAGAGAAGGTCCTGTTTTCCCACTCGTAGCAATGGAGGATCAGATTCGGAAAGTTTGTAAAGAGCTTGCGTCAGCTCAGAGGAAGATGAGGCGGCGCTCCAATGCTGCAGATCTTTGGTGGGGGTTGACCGGCAGAATGATGAAGGTTGCGCTTTCTATTTACATTTTGTCTTCTTATGATGTGGCTCTGGCCGTGCGTTTTGCGACCAGTGCCAGAAAAAAGAGAAAAGCTTTGGCAGATGATGGGGCCGCCGTGGGCAGACCTCCGATTGAAGATTGGTTTGCAGCACTTCGCGAGGAAGAGCTTTTCCCCCTTGTGCATCCAGTCACTCTGGCGGAGAAACGCGTCACAGAGACGGCCAAAAAGTACATCGCGGGTAGTTCTGCAGCATCTTGGGTGCAACGCATGAATTTCTGTCACCATGTGGCCCCACCCACAAGTGTCTTATTGGAACGGTACAAAGCTAATCTGCAAGCTGAAGGCAGTGATATCAGCGCAGCCTTGAGTTCTTCGATGGTAGCTGACCATGGGCGGCCTGGGAGGTATGCCAAAAAGTGGCTTCAGCGCTTCAGAAAGAAATGGAATCTGCGTGTTGGCAAGTTATCCAACGAGACCTGCATCCCTGCCACAGAGTTGCGTTCGAAGGCAAGGAAGGGTGTTGGGAGTCAAACCCACGAGGTTGACTTGTTTGCCGGCGTTGGACTGTAGCAAGTGTAGGTAGTAGGTAGACGGTAGACCAGACGCACGCAGTCTGTCAAGTTTGGAAGTTTCGATCGCGCGCGTTGATACGTCTCCCTGGGTAGGCTCTGGTTTTTGTACTTGTGGGTTCCAATTTCTGGCGCCTGTTTTGGTTCTCATTTTGGGTTCCAAACAAAAGGAGCCACTAAGGAAACCATCCCCATCCAAGTTCCTGTTTTGGGCCCCTGTTTCGGCCCCTACCAGGTTATGACTTTCTACCAGTGGGTTGACTTTTTGCGCACTGAAGCCGATGGACGAGGCTTGGAGATTGACTGGCTGAACCTAGACGAAACCAGCGTGCCACAGTCCTTTGTAGATTGCCAAGGCAATATTGCCCGTGTTGGGCCCAGGCAGTTGCCATGTCACAACATACCTTTACATCGGCGACGTGGCTGCGCGACCTTCGTGTGTGTTGTAGCAGCCAGTGCCAGATTGCAAGCAGTGATGCCCCAGGTCTGGATTGGAAACAAGCGTGTGTTCAGAGCCAAAGATCTTAGAGAAGTGGCGCCTGAAATTCCACACAACTGTCTTCTGTGGCGTGAAGCCACGTCTTGGAATACGGCATTACTCATGGAAAAGATCTTGACACTCATCGCTGAGAGAGCCGCTACAGTGTTAGGTCCCCGGAGTCAGCTTGCCCTAGTGTTTGATTGCGCATCGGTGCATTTGACGAGGGCAGTGCTGCAAAAAGCCCAATCCTTGTCCATATGGATCGTGCTTGCGCCGACAGCTTGCACACATGCTGTGCAACCAGCAGACACGCATGTCTTTGCTGGTGTGAAAGCTTTTTTGCGGAATTGCGTGTCGGAATGCAAAATGAGATCGCCAAATGGCACCCTCGCTCAAGCAGATTGGTTGCGTTGCTGCCTGAAAACGGAGAGCTTCCTCAAAGACCGGCCTTGGAGGCAAGCTTTTTTGGACAATGGGATCCTGGGCGAACGCCATTGTCTTTCAGCGAAGCTGAGAGATCATAGGTTTCCATCACCTTCTGTGTCACCGCCGCCGAGCTATGACCTGCTAAGTACCATCTTGCCGAAGGCATGCCAAGTCCATTATTGGGACCTATTTGGAGGGGTACTGCGCGTGCCTCCGTTGGTTGATTAAAAATGAGTTGCCACTGTCGGTGCACCCAGCTACGTCTGCTGAAGTTGGTTGCCAGATAGGTGCCGCTTTTGGGGCTTTGACGGCGGCCAAAATGTTCTTCCAAGGCTACCTTGCACTCAAGTGCAAGGTTTGGCCTTGCTTGGTAGGCGTTTGCACTGGTTTGGCCTCCAACCTACTAGCGCTGGCCCAAAACCTAAAACACTAGTCTAAACATCCATTGCAATACACTAGTTAAGAAGGTAGCAGGGCATGCTGCGCTAAAATGGATTTCGGCACCAGAAGATGTGCGCAGACCAACATGGATTATAGGCTCTGTGTTTGATTCATCGGCTTTGAGTTCCCTCTGGTTGCACGCTTTGAGTTCCCTCTGATTTGCATATGCGCTGTTCTGCGTTTCTTGCCATTGATTCAGCCGGTAGGCAAGCAAGCCGACCAACTGCATTACGAATAAACATGTGGCGATTTCCGTTCTGCAATCCATTGGCCACAGCATGGCTCAAAACAAACAAGTTGCAATCAACATTCTTCAATCTGCTTAACTTCAAAAAGGTGACCCTGAGGCATGCAGCAACTGTGCGTATCAAAGAGACGCAGACATTGCTTCGGTGCCGCGTTTGGACATTTTTACTATGGCCACTTCTTTAAGGCGCGCGACACAGGTAAAGCAGAGGGACAAGGAGCAAGGCGTTAGACCACAAGATAATCAACGCACATCACACAGAGTGGTAGGTGGCGGGCAGCTTTCGCAGGACACATATTTCCTGTCTAACATTTGTTTGAATCATTCTACTTGGTTTAGAATTGCACCAGGCGCAAAGTGTCTGACAAATCAAGAGCGGACGAGCGTTGCAGCAAAAAACACTGCGTAGCAAACTCAGCATTTCTGCACGAACCACGGATGTGGGAAGCCCATGACTTGCCTGATTTGGGAGACAAATTTGAGAGCACAGGCGCTACTGCGTCCTATATTTTGCGCCTTTGCATGAATAATCGCTGTTGATTTTATTCAAGAACCTATGCCCTGTGGGCATGCGCTTCGACCTAGACGCTCGCAAGAGTTTACAAGCGCACCTGTAAAGTCTAGTGTTACCGACTGTTTCCGGTCATTAGCCACTGGTTTGGACAGGTAAGCAAGCTGAAGGCGAACCTGTTGCAACTTGCATTCCACAGTCTACGACTGAACTTGTTAGAGGTCAGTGAAGTGGGCAGCAACTGCATGCGTTTTCAGAGTAGGGCAGCGCATTTTGTGCAGTTTATCTAGAACTAGGACACAAGTTGCTATGGCCGTTGACTCAGATCAGAGATTGCCAAACACAATCAGATAGAGTTTTGCTATGCGTGGGTAAAATGTGGCCTG